AATGTGAAGCTGGATGTTTTCAGTTCTAAGATAAAAATGTGTAAGTGCATTGGTTGTGCACTTGTGTAGTGAAATGGAAACCCACTGTTCCCTCTGATCTCCCAGCATATTTTTATGGTGATTTAATGTTTTTGTTGGTCTTTGGTGGGGCTTTCTTTGTGGGTTTCTTGAAATTATTTTGGGTTCAGTGAGTTTGGATTTTTTTGTTGTTCTATGAGGACTGCTTTTCCAGACTTCCTGGTTTTAAAGCTGAAAAGCTGAAAGAAATTTAAACCTTTAAAATTCTTGCAGGAAAATGTTAGAACTTCAACTGAAAAAACCCCCCACCCCTTACTATATTAAAAATAGGAATTCAGTTGTGACTTGCCCCAGTTTACACTTTTTAAATTAATCTCTTGAAATGCTTGGTTTGTCTGGACTGTTCCTTCCAGTTTGTTTCCATTTTCTGTTTGAAAAAGACATCTATAACATATAGTGTCTAAAATGTTTCCTATCTGTGTGATGATAATGCTCAAATATATTGTTGTCAGTATTTTTTATATATATATATATTCAGATTTAGTCTTCAGATTCTTTTAGACACCAAGGTGTTTATGCCAAAATATTTGCTTTCTAGAACTCCTTACTTAAAACTGAGCAAGTGGAGTTACACTAAGCCAGTTGATGCCATACTAGTCACAGAAGCAGATAATTCTCAAATTTTACTAATTCTGAATTCAGTTGGTTTTACTGTCCTAATTTTCCATTAACTTGATGCAAGAGAATGACACAGTGTCCTTTTGCGTTTTTAGGTGACATACTTCAAATTTAAGCTACAGAAGAAGGAGGAAGTTAGGCTGTCGTATTTATTCAGCTATATGTCTCTATTTTACCTGTCTACTGTATTATACTGTATTTCATTGGTGATATTTTGTGTATGCATATTGATTCTAATCATGTTGACCACCTGCTAGAAAAAGTGTGTATAACTGATTTCTTCTTTTATTCTGGATTTAGATTGTTCCAGCTATTTATTTGAGCAAATTTGTAACATTCTAAAAACATAGTCACACTGTAACCTGTAAAACTACATTCAGGAGTATTACCTTTTAAAAGGTGCATAATATTTGATTTCTGGTCAGTGCATAATTTAATATATAGAGTTTGATGAAGAAGTACTGGTTTTAGTACATCAGCATTGTTTTTGTGATTTTAGAAATATATAGAGGAATCTTCTTCTCTTCCTATGAACAAACCAGCCAAAGGATATTGACAGTAAAAGGAAAGTGTTGCTGTTATCTAAAATGCCATAGATTATATTTCTTTTGTTGTTGTCTTTAAGAGGATTAATTTTTACTTTTGTGATTGGTCAAACATCAATGGAAGGTTTTTGGTGTTGTCTCACTATTATTTAGTACCAGTCTAATTTTGGAGTGAGTGAAAATTTATTTTGTTTGCCAGCTTGTTCCTCCCTCTAAGAATGATCTCACCTTTTTATATTTGTTTTTCTAATTCTTTAGCCTAATCTAAGATAGTGCCATTTAAATAGCAACACCTGACCTGAGACTAGAGTTCAGGGTGCTTTAACCCAGCCCATGAAAGAGATGAAATAGGAGTCACTTTTTTCACTGGCAACAGCTGCCTGCTCTTCCAGATTCCCTCTTGTTCTTTCTGGCCAGGCATTAGTCTTTATGGCCGATGTCTTTATTTAATTCTTATTTATATAATTTCCTAAAATAAATAAATATATTTATTCTTCAGGTAACTTGTGGATTAAAATCAGATCAGTTCCCTAAGCTGGCTCCCTGTCTGTCTTTGGAAGACCTAATGCTAGCAAGAAAGAAGGGAAAAAGAGCAGATCTTCCCCTTTTATCACCAGCACAAATTTATTTTCTGTTTATGCTGAGTCTGGATGGGTCAGAGTTAATTTTCTTCATAGCAGCCTATTATGGGGCTGTGTTTTGGATTTGTGACTAGAGCTGTTGATAACACAGTGGTGTTTTGGCTATTGCCGAGCAGCACTTGTGTAGTGTCACAACTTTTTTTTTTTTTCCCTGTTTCATTCTGGAACCCCTGGTGAGTAGGCTGGGGTGGGCAAGAAGCTGGGAGGGGACATGGCTGGGACAGCTGATGCAAATTGACTGCAGGGATGTTCCATGTCATATAACATCATGCTCAGCAATAAAAAACTGAGGGGGCCAGGAGTGAGCATTGGTCTGGGAGGTAGCTATTGCTTGGAGACTAGCTGGTCATCAGTCTGCTTGTGGGAGGTAATGAGTGGTGATAAAACACCACTTGGTGTTTTTCCTCTTTTCTTCACTTTCCTCTTTTCACTTACTAAACTGTCTTTATCTGGACCCATGCATTTCCTTGCTTTTCCTGTGCTCTCCCATGTCTCTCACTGTTACAGGGGTGGTGGTGGTATGAATGAGCAAGGGGCTGTAAGGTACTTAGCTGCTGCCTGGGGTTAACCCACCACGGAGTTCTTAAATGCTCAAACATTTCATTCTGTATTTGCAACAATATGACTCTGAATATGGTCCCAGAAGAAACCGCTCATCGTTTGTGACTTTGACATTATCTTAGCATTATTTTTGGTATTTCACCTCTCCTGAGCTGGATCTTGAAAAGGAATCTGTTCTACCTGGTGAATGAGGGGAACATAATTGATCAGGAGAGCTAGGAGTGAATTGGGATGGACAAATAATGCTTAAAGAAGTTGAGCTGATCTTTCAGTTTTAACGTTCAGTGATATGGTCTTTTGAGGAATATATAAGAAATTTCTTAATTGATCTATTTTAAGCAAGGATTATGTTGCACTTAAACACTTTGCTGATGTTATGCTTCACTGCCAACACATAGTGGTACCAAAGCCAGACAGGTGAACTGATCATCTGAAAGCTTCACAGCCTCTCCTAACTTCACTTCAGTTAGTAGTTTTTGGGGCAGTTGTAGAGTTTTCAGTTGGAGTAGTTCCACAACTAGTTTATCATAGACTATGCGAATGATAGAATCATTTAGGTTGGAAAAGACCTTTAAGATCATTGATTCCAACCATTAACCTAGCACTGCCAAGTCCACCACTAAACCATGTCCCTAAGCACCACATCTGCATGTCTTCAAAAACTTCCAGGGATGGTGACTCAACCACTTCCCTGAACAGCCTGTTCCAGTGCTTGACAACCCTTTTGGTGAAGAAATTTTTCCTAATATCCAATCTAAAGCTCCCCTGGCACAACTTGAGGCCACTTCCTCTTGTCCTATCACTTGTTACTTGGGAGAATGGTAGTGATAGCAGAAGGAAGCAAGGAAAAAGGCAAAAAATGATTCGCTTTAATCAGAGGTGTAGATTAAAATAGCAGCTTAATATCCTGGCTTGCAATGGTGGCATTTTAAGCCTCATACCAGTGGAAGAAATGTCCTTTTGCATGTTAGGTTTATCAGTGAACAATGTGAGTAACAGATTTACGACTAACTGTAGCTTCAGAAACTGTTTTTTAGGGTACTTTGGAATTGGTCTATACAGTAAGCCGATAATTACGAGTCTCCCTTCCTTGTCCCAGTGCTTTAGTTGTGTGAGCTCCTGGTGCTTTGTGCCAGTGCAGGTAAAGCTGAGGACTGAGCTGATGCTGATTCAGCAGAAATGCATGTTTTCTGATGTTTTATCACAAAATCACCAGCTGTTGGTACAAAAAAAGCTACAGGAATGTATGACTAAGGATTTGGAGAATAGGAGAATACTCTGTTCTAGCAGTACTGCTCTTTTCAGTATGGCTGTGATGGCTTCCCATTACATTAGCTCAGACTTTTTTTTTTAAATCCTACTTCTAGTCAGTCTTCCATTTCCTGGGTGTGTATGATGACTGAGATGATCTTAAGAAGAGTATTTGGTTCTGCATTTCTGAAATGCGTCTGGTTACATCAATCTGGCTTCTCAGAAGGGCACAGTATTTTTCCATGTTGTATGATTTAGTCCTGTTTTCAGGAGCAACTGCTAATTCTCCTCTGCGCTGCCGTAATTGCTAGGAATTTTAATGGTCTGTTTGGGTGAGGACCATAGCTAAGCAGTACTTCATTAACTGTTTTCCTTGCACCTTTTTTCTTTTCTTGCTTTGGATGCAGAATGTCTAGAGATGCAGTGCAAGAGCCTTACTTGGTTTGTGCAGTAATCCATCTGCTCTTCCATCTGTTCTAATCTGGTCATATTTCATCTAGTAATACTACTGTGTCTTTCAGCTTGTTAAATAGGAGATCGGAAGCTTAAGGGGGAAGTGAATCCTCATCAATCTCATGCCCAAGTATTTTGTTGATATAACATGACATCGGATTATTGAAAAAAACCCCTTATAACAATATGTGATTCTGTTCAATTTCAAAATAAAAGATTTTTCATGAGAGGTGTCTGTTACAGCCCTTAAAGTTTTAAGGGAGCACAAGATGTGTTAGCACAGCAAAAATGAAGGAGTATCTGTCATCCTCTCTCTTCCTGTACTAACTCTTTATAAGCCTTGTCTTCCCTGTGATAAATAGCTCCAGTTAATGTGCTCACACAGAGGCCATACTGGAGAGGATGATCAGCAGAGGAAATGTTTGAGTTTAACTAGTTGCAAGTCAGGGTTCTGCCTAACTGTTACAGGAAAAAGGTAAAAATTCAGCTAGACTGGAGTAGTCTGGGTAAGAATTCTTATTTACTAGTTACTGAGCAGAACATACATTAATAGCTGTTCACAGTTACTACTTAGGAATATTATTTTCTTGAAAGGCAATAAATAGTTACTCAATCTTACCTTCAGACTTTAAAATAAATAAAATACCAGTTGTCACGTATCTTTAATAAGAACCTGTGTCTTTTCGTGATGAGTTTATAGTAATTGACTTAATAATAATCTTAAGTATACTGAAGACTGTAGGACTAATATCAATCAGAAAACACAAGCATAGAGATTAAAGGTGTTTATTGAATGTAGACTTTGAGCAGTAGTGGACTCGGTATAACTTTTGCTGTCATATTCTACTTGTAGGTAAAAAGAACATACTCTCATGGTACGTATAGAGCTGGCCCAATGAGACAGATCAGCCTGGTTGGAGCAGTTGATGAGGAAGTGGGGGATTACTTCCCTGAATTCCTTGATATGTTGGAAGAATCACCCTTCTTAAAAGTAAGGACAGAAGGGAGTGGGTTGGGACAAGGGGGAAAATATACTGTCTAGTATTGTTATAATAAAGTGAGAGTATGTGATACTTAGATAATTGAGGGGTCTAATAAATGTTTTCATCGTGACAGATAAAGGCTGTTTTTAAAAAGTTTTTCAAGTAACTCACTTCAAAATTGTGGCTTGTATTTCCCATTAGTGTACACTGCCATGGGGAACACTTTCTAGTTTAAAATTAGAGAGTCGTAAAGACAGTGATGATGGTCCCATTATGTGGGTACGTCCAGGAGAACAGATGATCCCTGTGGCTGACATGCCAAAGTCACCTTTCAAAAGGAAGAGGTATGTTGAATTATTTTGCTTGATAAATGTCTGGTTAGTATTCTTTCTCTACAAATTAATTTTATCGGAAACCTTTTAGTGGTTGATACTGTATCTTACATAAATTTCTGTAAATCTTTATCTCAAAATATACTTTTAAGTTGCTTTCTTTTGTAAGGATGTGGATTTTTTTTTTTTTAAACTTTTACTGTCTGGCCAAGTAAGCTGCTGCTCCTTTTTGGAGCTTTAGTAGGAATTTAAGGTGAAAACTGCAGGGAAATGTGAACAGGCATACAAATACTGAGGTATGCCATGAGACTGGAATTAATACCCCTGTTCTTAAATGTGAGTGGATGTTTAAAGACCTCAGGGATAAGGGCTTTTCTTGTGTCTGAAAGGTAACATCTCTGTGTCTGAAAGGTAACATCAGGTAATACTGAGTATAAGAACCAGCTTAAGAGTAAGGATGTCCTCTGCAGAACTTGGAATATTGTTTGTCTTGAGAAATTATGTCTTTGGGGTTCTCTTGTTTAAAATTCAAACATAAAAAGAGAGCACACAAGAGGTGGAAGCAGAGTCAGGTGCCTCAGAAGGAGTATAGAGACACTGTCCAACCATAAAGGGGATGCAGTTAAAGCCAAAGATCATCTGGAGTTGAATTTGGCAAGGGATGTGAAGGGCAGCAAGGACTTCCACAGGAATATAGACAGCAAAAGAAAGACTAGGGAAAATATAAGGTGTCTACTGAATGGAGCAAAGGGCCTGGAGGCAAAGGACACAGAAAGGGCCAAGATGTTCAATGCTTTCTTTGCCCTTGTCTTTACCGGTGAGATTTACCTTCAGGAATGCTGGGTCCCAGAGACAGTAGGAATGTCTGGAGCAAGGACTACTTTCCTTCAGTGGAAGAGAATTAGGTTAAGGAACATATTAGACATAGAGATTAGACAGATGCAAGCCCATGGGACCTGATGGGTTGTACTCACAAGTGCTGTGGGAGCTGGACAGTATCATTGCAAGGCCACTCTTGATTGTCTTTGAGAAGTCATGGCAATTGGCAAAGGTACCTGAGGACTAGAGGAATGCAAATGTCACTCCAATCCTTTAGAAGGGTAAGAAGCAGGACCTGGGGAACGGCAGGCTGGTCAGACTCACCTTCATCCTGGGAAGGACACCATTTCAAACATGAGGGACAAGATGATCATTGGGAGTAGCTAGTATTAATTTATAAAGGGGAAATCATGCCTTATCTACCTGATAGCATTCTACAACAAAATGACTGGCTCACAGAATGAGAGGAGTGCCAGGGGTGGTGTTTATCTTGAATTTAGCAAGGCTTCCCACACTGGACACCTGTCTCAAATAACATCCTAATAGACAAATTAATGAAGGACAAACTAGACTGATGGATAGCATGGTGGATCAAGAACTGGCTTAACTGCCATGCTCAGAGGATTGTGATCAGCAGCACAAAGTCCAGCTGGAAAACAGTGGCTACTGGAGTAACCCGGTCATTGATACCTTGCGCCAATACTGTTCAACATCTTCATTAATGGCCAGCATCATGGGACAGAGCACGCCCTCGGCAAGTTTGCAAGCGATAGAAAACTGGAAGGAGTGGTTAATGCACCACAGGGTTGCGCTGCCAGTGAGAGGGACCTTGAGAGGCTGTAGAAACGGCCCGACTCGGTGGACACGCGAAGTTAACGCAGGGATGTGCAAAGCCCCACAGCCTGGGAGGAATAACCCCCTGCACCAGCACAGGCTGAGGACCAACTGGCTGGACAGCAGCCCAACAGAGAAGGACTTGAGGGTCCCGCTGGATGACAGGTTGCCCATAAGCCATCAGTGTGCCTTTGTAGCAAAGCAGGCCAGCAGCCCCCTGGACAGGATTAGGAAAAGCACTGCCAGGAGGTTGAGGGGAGTGATTCTTTCCCTCTGCTCACCACTGGTGAGACACATCTGGAGTATCGTGTCCAGTTCTGGGCTTGGCAGTCCAAGACAGACCTGGGCATACTGGAGCAGATCTGGTGACGTAAAAGGCAGGCATGGGAAAACTGGGATTTACACTTAGAAAAGAAGGCTCAGTGGGATTGTACCAATGTGTTTAAGCATCTGATGGGAGGTTGTAAGAAGGACTTTCTTCAGCAGTGCTCAGTGACATGACCAGAGGTAATGGGCACAAACTGAATTACAATAACTTCCATTTAAAACAAGGAGAAAAAAAAAATCACTGTACAGATGGTTGAACACTAGGACAGGTTGCCCAGAGAGCTTTTGGAGTTGCTCAAAACTTGACTGGATGTGGTCCTGAGCAACCTGCTCTAGTTGAGTGAGGGAGGCTGGGACTACACAGTCTCCAGATGTCCCTTCCAACCTTGGATATGTTATGATTATGAAGAGCTCTTGGAAAAATGTAACACATGATGTTGGCTCCAGGTGGCCAAGAAAATGGTCTTGTGGCTCTGTTCCCGCTCTGCAGCGTTCCCTTCACTCTCATTAAACCCTGAAGAAATAATCTTTTGCTGCTTCTCATTCCCAGTTCTGCAACATGGAACTAAACACACATACACATTTCCCAGCGGTTTGGTAGAAACATGAATGATGAAGAATGACTTCAGGGACAATTGAAATGTATATCTAATAGTCAGGAAGCAGCAAAGGCTGTCAATTCCCTGTCAGGGGCTGACCGTGGTGGGGCCCAGTCTCACAGTTCCTGAGGAAGGTAGGTAGGGCAGACCTGGCGTTTGGGGACTGGATTCAGCCCAGACTCCAGTGTGTCAGGGAAGTGTGTGGTGCTGGAGCAGGTCTGAGGTCAAGCCAGCAAGTCAGTCTGCCAGTGAGGATCAGGTCCAGTGACTTGCCAGGCAGGTCCATCATGACAAAGCCCTTCTGAGGCCAAGCTGGGAAGCAAGTCTGTGGCCCAGCACACCTCTGGCTGTGAGGTGAAGACCAGTGCTCCTGCAGCATGGCTCAGGCCAGGACTGAAGGCCCAGGCCTGAGCTTAAATACAGCTCCTGGGCTCTTTGTCTGGGTTTGTGGGTGGAGACTGCAGGTGAGGCTGCTCACTCATTAGGGCCTTTTAGTGCACTCAGGGCCCTGATGCTGTGCTGTTGTGTTTTGGTTTTTTTTTAAACTTTTTTTTATTGCATAGGTATTCTGATTTTTTGCATAGCCCATCACACTTTTAATTTGCCCTAAATGTTACTGTTTTTTCTAATTTGACTACATGGTCTTACTGAAGGGAGAAAAACAATCCTATTGGCTATGGTGGACGTTAGGTAATTAAGAGAAACTTCTGTATCACTAATACTGTTTTTCTTATACAGAACTACCAATGAAATAAAAAACTTGCAGTACCTACCTCGAACCAGTGAACCCCGTGAAATGCTATTTGAAGACCGGACACGAGCTCATGCAGATCACATAGGACAAGGTTTTGAACGACAGACTACAGCTGCTGTGGGAGTATTGAAGGCTGTGCACTGTGGAGAGTGGTATGTGTCGATTGCCCTACTCACCTAGCTGTTTGAAAAAATATTTGCCTGAATTTCCATTTATAATTGGTAGAAGGAACACCGAATAGGTTAATCTAGTATTAGAGATTTAATGAAGACTTAGTAGATACTGGCCTTCCCCCACCCTCCCCCATCTATGTGCACTAGATGTGTTTGTCTGCCCTCTGCTACATTGCATACAGTTGTGCCGTGTGGTTGAAATGAGAAAGGTGCCTTGCAATGACACTTTTAATCTATAACTGAGTTGCTGTAACTGAGTTAATGTTAGATGTAAAAACACCTCACACTTTGTTTTACTTTACATAGTGCATATGGACTGATGTGAGTTTCTGCCTCAGGGGTGCACATCAAGACTTTCTGGCAATTCTTTGTGTTGTCTGGAGATGAGCAGAATTTTTATGCTTCTGCTTCAAAGTCATGGCTGTTATAAACCTGATTTATTTATGGTAGCTCACCCAGAAAGAACCCTGTCAGAGGCTGTGTGATATTCTTTGGTGTCTGTCTCTGGAATTCCTATATGAGATTCAGGAAATGAATGTATCTCACTTACATCTGTTTATATTTTAGCCAAATAAAAAGCCTGTAATCATGGGCTTCCTGGCCCAGATCTAAGAAGCATTTTTCAGGATCTTCTGATCCTGGTTTGAGACAATGACCTTAGTTTTGGAGGTTACCTTTGAATACATAAACACTAAAAACACCTTTTCCTCTTTGTGTCTGTCTAGAAATGAGAAGAGTGAAATCCCTTTGGATGAAATGATGCAAATTTGTGTTAGAGTGCATGAGTTCATTGAGACAGAAAATCGAATACTTGCTGTTGGGGAAGAACTGGATTGTTCTGATGTTAATGTGTTTGTATTTTGGGCTCTGAGGTTTTGCGGTTCAGTTCCTCTGCAGGTTGATGATAGCTGAAGCCTTAAACTTCCTGCTTGCTCTGATTGTGAGAAGCTGGAGTGAATTAAGACTGAACAGTGGTAGCAGGGCAAGATCTGAGATACTGTGTAGATCTGATTATCTTAAATTACAATTTGCACATATATGAGTGAGAGAGAGACTCAAAGCTTTATCAAAGAAAGGAAAAAAACCCCCAACCAAACAAACCAAAGAAAACCCCACTCCCCAAACTTCTGTGCCTGTGGGAATTAATAAAAATTTAAATTTATAGTAATTTAAGTGTCTGTGGGAACTTCCCATTCTCATCCTATACCTTCATAACAAGATTCTCTTCCCTTGGAAATCATTACATGTTCATTTACATTCTAAAAAACAAATTTTCTGGCTTTTTAGATCTAAACCATTATCTTCTCTGATATGTTGGAACCTGTGGAAAAGGGTGTCTATGCAACTTCCATTAAAACTCCTTTTAAACTTGAAAAAATAAATGAATCAGTAAAAATAAAAATTACGTAGAATAAAAAGTGATCTGAAAATAGGCAAAACTAAGCAAAACTGTCCAACAAACTTGAAAGTACTTCAAGTACTTTTTGAAAGTTTGGGGGGGGGGGGGGGAACTATCAGCACTTCAGTGTAAGGACTGAAAATTTATCTTTTAATGCAGAATAAAAAATTTGGGACTGATATATGTAGAGGAGGAAAATATGTAACACAATCAACACAAAAATTATGTATTTCAAGCTTGATTTGACCTCAGTGATAATTTCTCCTTTCCCTTTCCACTTTTTTGCATAATTTTGAAAAGCCACATCACTGTACTTACATGAAGAGAACTAATCAGGGCTTAGGATAATGAAGCATCATTAATGTAAGACATTAAAATAATTTCAGATACTAGCTTCACTGTAATTTGTAAGCTGTGGGTAGATTTATTTTAAGGGAAACAACATGCATGGAAGTTGGAAAAATCTGGTGGGTTTTTTTGTTTGTTTGTTTTTGTTTGTTTTTTTAAGTCTGTTTGAGTAGTTGAACAAAACTGAAAGTTGGAGATATTCCAGGGGTGATCAGGGTACTTATTGCAGTAAAAATGCACATGTTCTAATGATGATATACCATATGTAAAATTCATGTGTTCTGTGAGGAGAAAACAAAGCAGTTCATAGACTTGCTGAACTGAGTTGTTAGTTTGTGTTTAGTTAGTATAAAAATGAATTGGGTGTGCAAAAAAAGCGTTGTTATCAAGAAGTTGCTGTAGACTTTAAAGTGGGATTTATTTAGTAGTTGATAAGCATGAATGCTAATGTTAGGTAGGATAACTAGTGTCTTTCAGAAAAGACAGGAACAGAACTGTTGAAAGGCAAAAAGCAGTTTTGGGGGATAGAGCACAGAACTGGAAACAAAACATACTATTTGGAAGAACAAAACAATAATTTTTGCTTTCCCAGATAGGACAGGCTCTTGATTTGAGATGTTTTGTAAAATTACTGGATTATGATCTTTTTTTTTGTTTCTGTGAATATTTGCAAATTGTAGAAGAGCTCTGGCTATTGCTAGCAAACATTTTAAAGACTGCACTGCATTGAAGTCTGATAAACGCTGGGGTTGTGATCATGCTGATTACTTAATGCCATTTTTGTAGGTGTACCAAGCACGCTTTAGAATTTATGAAAAGCCAGTGAAATTTTAAATTATGGAAACTTTGAAGATTTGTACGTGGGAAACTTGGGTGGGTTTTTACAGGAACAGCAAAAGGCACTTCATGGCGTTGTTGGCAAAATTAAACCCCTCTATCCTGTGCTTCAGCAAGCAGCTTTTCAAGTTTGTTCCAGAGCGTGAAGTTGTTAGTGCTTCTCTATAGGATCATAGGAATTTGTTATATTATACATTAGGTCAGAAATATTCATGGTAAAACCTGTAGTCTTGAATCTGTTTTGAAAAGTTACAGCAAAAAGAGTCCAGCCCTTTCAAAGAATGAGGTTAAGGAAAAAAAATTATTGCCAAAAATAGTTCTAGCAGTGCTCTAGTAGGGACTTAAATGGATTTTTCTGAAGTCATCTTGCAGTTCTGTTTGGATTTACTGTCTGTTTTGGACATCTGACTGAACTACTCTGCTACTGTTTTGCATGGGGGACAACGTCACCCTCTAAACTTTAGGTTTTACAAAACAGAATCTCAAAGTTGCGCTAAATATCAAATCTGCAAATGCAGAATTACAAATTATCTGGCAATTTTTCTCTGTTGTGTTTGCAAAAGGAATGTCATGTTTTGTGATAGAGGTGCAGCACAGAGTTGGTAAGGCATACTGTTGTACGTATATATAGGGGCTGAGGAAAGGAATGATTTAAAAGAATCATTAACTATGTCCTGTATAATGGGTAAAACAGAGTAGACACTGCTGTGAAAACATTGCTTTGAAGTTCTTTTAGTATGCAAATATTCTTTGTATTTATTTTAATTCTTAACTTCATTTACAAATATTGTTAACTCCAGGTGCAGATACGTATTTTAAAAAAACCCCAACAACATATCTGCATTATAAAAAGTAGATTAATGTAGCTAGTATTTTTTTCTTTTTGCCAGAGATGTTTCTGTAAGCTTTTTTCTTTCAGTGCTTAAATCCTCTTTAGGAGTGCATAGACCAAAATACAGAGAGACATTTTAATCTTTGTAAAATTGAAAGTAAAATATGTTGTCCGAAAATTCGCCCTAGTGTGCTTTCAGTAGCTGATCTGGGATTCCCCCCTCCCCCCGAAAATAGCCTTAGACTGGTTATTTTTTGCTCTCTTGAGGTCATGACCTAAATAAAATAAACGTGTCTTGTCAGTTTAAAAAGCCCAATGAACTGTACCCGATTGCCTGCTGCTTAGAACATTAATAACCCCGTGTGTGTGTATATATATGTTGAAAGGCAAAAAGCAGTTTTTGGGGATAGAGGACAGAACTGGAAATCGAGAGAGGGAGAGAGATGCCCATCTTGCCCTTTTTAAAAGGAGCGCTTGCCCATCCATTCCGCTGTGAGCGGCGTCGGGCGGTTTTGCTGCATCAGCCCCTGCCCGGGCCCCGGCAGGGCGGAGCGCGCCGTGCGGCCCCGCTGCGGCCGAGGGGCG